AAGCAATTTGGTCTTCCATACACATTCTAGAGTTTTTAAACTAGTCGAATTAACCTGTTTGGATTTTATAAATTCAGAATAACTGGTTTGAAAGTAACACGATCAAGAGCAGTGACTGGATTAATATTTTAAAATTGCTGAATATTTTGGAGAAACATTTCACTGCTGGATGTACCCATAGTGATAAGATCCTTCTATGTCCATCGTGGGAACTAATCTAAGGCTGCTCCTAAAATGCGCGAGTTGTGATACATAATTGGTCATATGAAATATTTATGAGTAAATTAAAGAAAGGCTGTGTTAACCTATTTAGTCTAGGTTAAATACTGGAAAACGGATGATATATTGATCAATACATGCTTTTAATGACTCCGAGCAAGCCATTTATATAATTTCATCTGAATAATCATTAGTCAGCTCACATTCAACTCTTTTAATTACATCCCTAAGATATTTGAAGTTGATATCGCTCCATGATCTTTACGACCAAAAGTTGGCACATGACTAAAGCTAATTAATATTTCCATTCCATCAGTAAAACCATCGCTTTTCCTCGTGTTTTTCGTCACTGTGAACGTACTCATTTATCTAAACTTCATAAACTAAAGTATATTAAACATTTGTCAATAATTAGATTAATAATTGGCTTGTGTGTAGATGATGAAACATCGTGAAATAGAATGAATTCAATTTATTTTTCAAACCTTGTTGTTCTTGCCTTGTTTAAATTTATCAAGGGATCTGATTTTCTAGAAAGTAAAAGTATAATTTTTGGCGTTGTTTATTTGTAGCATAAGTTTTCGCTTCAAAATCGTTTAAGCTTTGACAACTATATATGTGTAGGAGTAAGTGTGAGTACAAGCATTCTTGATGGTTTACTGTGGGCGTCTCTAAATTATTGTCTTCACAAGGCAGTAGATCATTTAGGTACCTGGTCACATGACACAAACACCATTCAATTGACGAGTTTAACTAGGTGCTGGCTAAAAGCTAAGATGAATTCTTTAATAGCATAACAAATACTGTTCTGTCGATTTTTTGAAGTAGCAGTCTTTCATCAGTGAAAGGAGGAATAGAAGTCCTAATTAACGGCCTTGAATTTACCTAATTAATTCAAACAGTCCGTCTAGTTCAAGAGATTATCTGAGGATACACTGAATCAAGTTTTATCCGATAAATGTAAGAGAAGGTGCAGTTATTTTTGTGTTGAGTCCATGGTTTCATGTAGGAGGTTTTCAATAAATTTTGACGAAAATTTAATAAATTTGACTCTACTTTTAAAATAGTGTGTACTAAACATTTTAAATTAATTACAGGATCTTCTAAATGAGTTAGCCCATTTTTTACTACAGATTCTGTTTCACAAAAGCACTTAAGAAAACTGTCTTAATAAATCATTAATATTCATTAAAATTAAGTATACTAACTTTCATGAATATCATAATTTTCATTTTTAACGTCGTCAGTTATCTAGAAATTATTTGTGTTGTTACGATGTAGAGAAAACGTGATGTTCAGGTATAAGGGGATTTATCAAGTAAAAAGATTAAAACTAAATCATGTCTTATTAGCCCATTTTTTATCCTTCTCGGTATATGATTTGCTTATGTTGTACAGTCTTCTATTTCAATATCAACATTGAAAATGTAAATTGTCAATTACTGACTGGTACATAAACGTTCATATAAATCATTGACTATGATGTGTGTTGCCTTGGAGCCAAACATCGACTAACGTTTAGCTTATTTTTCAGCAGGCTTTTGCTCCAAGAGTTAACTGTGAAAATTATTACATTAATGTATAAGTAGGAAACGTACACAGACATATACCCATAAGTTAATATTCTTTTCGTTAATTTCATTACTTATTTTCTAATTGAAATCTGTAAATTTTCTCTGTAGTGAAGTAATTTTCATTTTTTTTTGTTCTAAATAAAGTCCAACAGTAATCAGTCGCTAATTAACAATAGTTCCAAGGCAAACCCGAACGCTCCATCGTTTACAGAGAGTAAGCTTTACCATTATAATTAAACCCTAATTAATTAAATATCATTTCATGTTTAACCTTAAATATTAGGAAAGAGAAACTAATAATTCACTTGTCAATCAGAAAGTTATTGTGTAATTTTTTGTCATAAACATATATTAGAGTAAAAATACCTCATGAGAGTTCGATGTTGACCCGATAAAATGGCAGTCCTTGACTAATCAATATTATTATTATTATCAGTGACAGGGTTATCGTTATGGTCATTGATTTGAATTACAGAGCATTCTCTGAAAAAAAACTAAGTGAAGAACTAAGCTTCGAAATATTTAATATTTGTTAATCTAAAAAGTTACTTGTGATGTAAAGCATGCCCTTAGGTGCGAACACATCGAATATACAAACGAGGATTTCAATAGCGTTTACAAGTGATCATATCATAAACTAAATGGATTAGGATGTTTTGATAATTTCAGGCTATTTCATTTGTCAAATTTTACATTCTGCAATAACAGAATTGAAATTCAATAAGAAATTTCATTGTAGCTAATATTGTTCAATAATGCTTGTCATAATCAATCAGGATTTCTAGTAATATCAAAAATACTTTTCGTGAACTCACAATTTTTAAAGATACTAACTGATAGTTGTTTTCGCATCCTTTCGATCAGGCTTATCCATTTTGCTAATCATGTTGATTTATTCTATTTGTTGTTACTTCTTCAAACTATGTAGTGCAACACTGAGTTACATGAATCCAAATTCCAAATTTAGTAGACTTTATTGTGTATTCTCAATAGTACTGTTTAGCTGTTTGTGTGAATGTAGGCGACTTGGATTCGAAAATTATTTAATTGTGATTAGTTGTTAGATAATTGCTGTAGTGAATTAATGTCTATGTCTTATGTTATTGTGATCTGTAAATTAAATGCACTAATGTTTTCTGTAATGTACATAATTTCATAACTAAAGTGTTATACGTCTAAGTAATCTGGTAAATTTACCAAATGTATACTGACTCCTTCGGTAAGTTAATCTACATCACATCTTATCAATTATCACGTTAGATTTTTGGAAGGAGTCTACAGGAAACTCTATACATAGGTTTCATGCAATTCGGTATTCATCAGCATCTTGTACGTGTAATCTTGAAGAAACTAATAATCGTTGGTGGTTTCGAACTCGTATCATGCAGTTTCAGTGTAAAACGTTATCATTAAGCTATTCAGATTCGTGGCTGACCTGTCTAGTTGATAAATACCAAAAGACTAGATAAATATGACATTGGTCACTACTCAGTCAGTGATCAATCAATTTGAAATAAGTTTTTTATGTACATAGTTTTTAAATATTGTAATTTCAGTGTAAAGTTTGGTTGTTTAAATGTTTCCCCTTCACTTATAAACAATCGTATCATTACTTTCTGATTGAGTATAGCAAAGAGAGAAGTGAATACAAATTAAATGACAAATAGATATTGTCGTCTTGTACTAGAAGTTTTGTTCAGCATTTTTTTTAGAAATATTTTAATTGATGAATTATAAATTTATTAAATATCCTGTTATTTTGTTTTTTAGGCTTGGGCTATGGATTTCTCTGTGTCACTCTAACTAATTTATGTGCTCTTGTAGGAATTGTATTTACGTTTCTTAAAAAATATCGTTTCTTCCCAACAATACTTTCATTTATGGTGGCTACTGCTGTTGGTTCATTATTATCAACTTCCATTATTGTACTTATACCTGAGGTAAATATCTCTGTTTCTTTTCTAATTTAAAACTGTTTAATTATGCATACATGTGATTGAATCCAGGATTTTCAAGTCTTGGAATGTGCAAAATATCTATAGATCATTGATTTATAGTCTGTTAATTCATATATTCCATTTAAAATAACTAAAGAGACCCATTGTATCGTTGAAAAAGAATAAATATAATCCCAGAAAGAAAATTATTTCTTTTTAAAGATTTTATTTACTTAAGCTATAAAATCATATTTATAGTTGATTTTATTTTCTAAAAATGTTAGTTTATAGTAAAATACAATAGTTATGAATAATTTAGAAAGAAAAGACTTGGATTATTTACGGAAATCAAGTCTTGAAAAGAAGTTATGTAATAATCGACTAGTGGATGGTGTTAGGGTGAAGATAATTGTCCACTTGATGCTTGTTAAGGACAGAATAATTAAAAGTTGTAATAATGTCTAATTAATAGTTGTGAAATTCATTGGAAAGGAGTAGGAATATAAAAATCGAAGGATTATGGAGTATAGAAAGGTAGGTTAAGACGATGAAAGGGAATGAACATACTGTTTTTGTACACAAAGATTAGGTTTGAATTAGTGGATATCTTTAACCTCTGGTGTACATAAGTTTTTCATTTCCATTCCTCTTGGACTCTTCATAACAATGCACCACTTCAGGTTTTCTTTATTCATCAAACACCATCCTATTTTATTATAGACTACTGTTTTTTAGCAAATAAAACTAATAATAAATATCAGAACAGGATTGTGGAGATTGAAAAAAAATAAATAAATGACATCGTTATAACGAAAAATATTTTCTTCACTGAACTATCTTTCTTCCGTTTCAGTCAATTTGTGATAAAGGATGGTACTCATTCAATGTCTTAGTGTTATATTAGAACCTCATCTTATTATTTCATTAAGTTACAAATGCCTACTAGAAGTGAAGCTCACTTTTTTCAAGCCTAATCAAATCTCCGTATTGATAACTACCTGAATTTCAACTTATTTCAAAGCTCTATTAGTCTATTTAGTGGCTTGTCTTGTGGCTTATTTGTTTAATTTAAATGAACATTTAAATGTTTCCTAGATTACATTGTTTTTCTAAATAACATAGTTACATTTTTCAATTATATTGTAATTTACTTCATAAAAATACAAAGTTGTACGATAATTTGTATTCGGATTAAAATCAGCCTTTATTTAACTGGTTTATTGTTAAAGACAATAATTATATCTAGTTTGCTTTGTAGTTTACTTAATTAGAAAATCTCTGATAACTGCAGTAATTAGATTTCTATAATTGTGTTCATTTCTATCTAGGAAACATTTTTCTGATTTGTGGATAAAATAATATTTCAAATATGCTAAGCTATTTTCTCATTCTTGTTTACTTTTAATGTGTATACCAGAATATGTCTTCCATGGATTTACTTTCTTGTTTTAGGCATTACAAATCATTCAACCAACAGGTAATAACAATACAAAAGATTCCGACTCGTATGTTATTAAGTCGATTACCGTATGTATTGGTGTATTTTTCTTCTATATTTTGGAATTCCTCCTACGTCTTATTCCACAGTGTTTTCAGGTACGTAAATACTAATAACAATTCTTACTACTGAATATTCTCTGCTTTTTTCAACCAAATTTTCTGTCACAATATTTCGATTCAGAGTGTATTTGAAGTTACATTAGTGATAGATTAGTTGATTATGTTTCACCTAAATGTTTCTTTATCATGGCTTAAAACTGATCAGAAATTTAACTCTCAATTTATTTGTATATCTTCTGTCGTTTGATACTAACTTCATGTTACAAACTTATACAGATTATTAGCAATTTTCGTTCTTATAGAAATCTGTAAATTCTAGTACACTAATCACTAATTGATAAAAACTATGTAGGCTGGAATAACTTGGGTAAGATATATCTAAGCTAACAAAAACATTGCTCCGTATACTCCAGGTTGAACAGTCTGTTTTCAGGTCCCAAGTTTATACTACCATATGACTTCTTTAATATTATCTTGGAGGTATCATCGGTGGAAAAACTAAAGAAGAATGGCGAGATTGTTAAACTCCGTTTAGCCCCACTGTTAGTTTGGAGCGATCTAGAAATAAGTGATTAAACACTCATACTCTTCTGAAAGTGATTTGTTTCAGGACTTAGAAATTTTACCAAACTCTGGACATTTCAGTATATAATATCAGAGAATAATTCTCTCCAGCAAGCAAAAACGAACCCTGATACCAAAAAACACTATGCTTGTTGTCCTGCAAAACATGTGACGACATCCAAATATTTGATGGGGATGAAGATGTTATTTACGTATCCAATACGTGAACCAAAAGCACTCCAATTCTTTCGAGTCAGTCTTTTAGAAACTTCACGCAATATATGGAGCGTAATGGAAGCCAATATTTTGAAAACGATAAATATAAACTCCGATTTTTATTATGTCCATTACGTAGGGATTTTTAAATACATGAATAAGAAGATGGAATAACCTTAGCTTGTTACCAATTTCTTAACAATCCCACCTCTATTTCTCTGACTATAATTTCTTCTTCATCCATAAAGACTGTGAGTAGGTCATTTGAGGCATAGTTTCTCTTGGACCGTCACCTAGTTGCATTATTAATTACCACATAACGAATAAATGACCGTCTGTTTGGAGCTTCAGCAGTGATGAACCAGTCACAGTGTCCTTCGAACTGTTCCACTCAGTGTTCAAGACATTTTCAGAGGTGACATCAACCTCACTCAATATATGTTGTTAACACCAAGCCCTTTGTTGTTGGTGACTCGAATAAATTCGAACGTCTTCGGCAGTCATCAGACATAGACCTTGCTCTCTACTAATTAAAGCACTCTTAACTTATCCGTTTTACATATTTATTACGTTAAGGCAGTAAATAAAATGAACACATGATAACATTTATTATAAATCATCCTCGATCTTAATGAAACATTTGTAATGAAATGATCTGAAGAAGTGAAAAAATGTATTTACCCTTCCGACAATGTTAATAATAGTTTTTGGAATAAAAAATAATAATACTGGCTACTATTTTATAAAATATGTCAAATTGCCATCTTGATTTCAGTTGTTCACTTTTTTGAATATTTTTTCTGTGTTCTCACATATTTAGAAAAAGAAAACACATTCGAATGACAAAAGTCAAAATGGGTTTCATATAGACCAATTTAATCATCATCATCATCATCACCATCAACTTTCTTATCATCAACAAGGAAGACCTTCACTGATGATACCTGTCGAACCAGTAGCAGATGGTGATAAAGATGGGCCTATTGTTGAGTTCACACCTAACCGTTCTAATCAGTCGAAAACAATGAACAGGTCTCTAGTAGGTGGTGAGACAGATTTACAGTGTGAATCGCCTCCAACTGAAGACGTAATGAATCATCTGCCATCATACGAGGTGAATAACTTGTTTACTTTAATCGATCACTGTTATCATTATTATTTACTATTTCATTAATTTATATCGGGACAATGGTGACAACTTGTGTTATCATACACAGTGCCAGTATGATATTATACTACTACTGTACGCCATTGTGCCGAATCGGAAAATACTGAAAATACATTTTATACAGAAACTGTCTCATTCCTATTCTGTTTATATTTCTAACTTTCATAATCATGTGTCAATCAACCATAAGTGTTGTATTATTTTCAGTTACATGATAGAGGTCTAAAGTTTTAGTCATCGTAAACATATTTCTGTCTCTTGATTCAACCTAAAAGAATTAGGAACCCATACTAGTAAGATAAAATTACCATTAACTTTTACACCTAAAAGAAACCTAATTCTCCAGTGGGTCATCATCATTAAAAATATTTTTCTTTGTAACTAAGACTCAAATGATTGTTTACGCTAGCTATCAACAAATAATACTGACTGATTGACTAATATATCGGTTAATATACACTTGTGTGTCAACTTTTAACGCTTTTTAATTGACTAGGCTACCTTGTTTCTCGTTTGACAACGACTGATAAAGAGCAGTGTGTTCTACTTTTTGGATTTTACTGTTATCCTTCACAACTCTGACTTCATAGTTTCCATAAGAATTCTTGCAGATTGCTGTACATCGGCTGAACGACACTCTAGTTTTATGTTCAATATTATTGGGAAGTGAAAAGGGATAAGACATATCATAGTTCCCCAATAAAGGCATAAGTTTTCTGTTCTGAATTTATCGCTGTTCCGTTCTCGATTGTTTATTTCCAATTGGTTGACCACTGAATAGTCACCAATTTAATGTATGTCAGGTCCTTCAAATTTTATCGTCATCATCCGGAACGGATAACTCACTGGTACCTTCTCTGAGTGTGAAACTGGGTGATACGGGAGAGAGAGCATTAGTTGCCTCAAGATTACAGGTACACCTTACTGACGAGTGCCGAATAGCACGAAATGTAGATCTTTCTTTCTACGAACTACTTCTTTCTTCCTGTACTATATCCTTATACACAACCTTTTTATTTTATATATTACTACCATTGAAATAATTAGTTCTATGAATTTGGTGTTCACCTTGTTGTGCTAATGAGGCATGGCAACTCGGACCGATGCATATATGTGTCTGGTCCGACGTTGTAGTTGACTGACTGACCTTACTTTTCAAGTCAAACAAAGAGGTTAACAAACATTAAATATTTGTTTCCTTATTTCATAAGAATCCTTCGCAAACTATATTTTGTTTAATTTAGTAGTATTTTTGCACCACATACTACTTATGAGTTTATTGTTTATGAAATCACTCGTTTCTCAGTCAGTGTGTTACATAATTGTTATAACCTTTTAGTCTTTAGGTATTTTAAACCTATCTGATCATAGTTTTCTCATTCACAATGGCTATCTGTGTTTGTACACCACAACATCAAGTTTTTTGTGATTTTAGCAAATAAGATATTATTTAAAGAAACAAATCAATTTATAATGTAATAAATCAAAACATCTGATATTATGTTTTATCAATGTCAATGTAACTAGATCTTTATTAGATCAAAATAATTTTAGTCTGAAAATTTTCAAATCACGTACTACTTCCAAAACATATACCCATACTGAATATCAAAACAACCAACACATCTTTTCATTTTACCTTGTTACTCTTATAATAGACTGACTGATTCAATTTACAGAATTCGAAATTTTTTTTTCACTATGAATTTTTTTGTTTCAGTAACTAACACGGTAAATCTATAACTTATATACTGCTTTTGAGCAACACTAAAGTGATCTTGCGAATGTTCACCTACTTACTAGGGCTGAATGAGGGTTATAAACCAGTGCGAGGAATTAAGATTATGATTTTCAGTTGATGGTTAGGGTTAGGAATAAGATTTAGGGTTTTCATCATGAACTGACATAAGCTAAAATGAACGAATGAATTTTGCGCCAAAATATAAGACCTGTAATCATAAATGTGATTGGTTCATTCATAAATTATGGTCTCGCCACTATCACTGAGTCTTAAAAACACAATGAAATCCGAGTTTTCAATTTTCGATATATGGGCTACAGGTTATTTTTGTATAGATAAACTCGTTTATAATCATCGCTGAAATCCGTGAAATAGTTTAGGCGAATTTTAAATTTACTTAATATTTTTTCTTAGCTTTTATCATTTTATACTTTTAAGGCCATCTTTTAAGGACATCTGTTATTAATACATTTCATCGACAATCTGTATGATTTTAGTGGTTTCACATGCTCAAATTTTTTTGTAAACCATTGTGAATTTTCTGAAAACTATTACCAAGGTTTTTTCATTTTATTTTTAAAAAGTTTATTTCACTTAAAACAAGAAACAGCATATATATATATATATATATATATATATATATATATATGTTACGTTTAGGATTGCAAATAAGGTAATTTCTAATTGGATACGACCGACTACTGACACAGAACACTACGATAATAATCTCTAACTTAGTGGAAGATAGAAAAAAGATAAGAGTGCAAAAAACGCTTGATATCTCTACAGTTGAAATTGAAATGGAATAACTCTATATGTAATAATAACAGAATGGCCTTGTGATAGGGAAATTAACCAACTTCTCATGAAACCAACCAATCAAATAACAATTAAGGCCATTGTGGTAATATGATTTAGAGAAAAAAAAGTTGTATTCACAGTTCTCGTTACACAACACCACAAAACAGTTAAATAGCACAAGATCATCCTAACTACATATATTACATTGTTTTTATCTGTAATTTAATGTAATAAAAAGAAATACTTTGAATCATCTTTTTTTTTTTCGTTATAAGCTTTCAGATAAATAAATCACTACAAATAGTTATTTGATTGTCTTGAAAATTGCGAATTTTTGAAATTTCTAGAGTTTTTCTATTTCTTTAGTGTCTTTACATTGATAATATTATCAGATATTGATTAGTTTACATAGAGTTTATTATCATTGAACAAAGTATTAGCTATTTTTCTGAAGAATAAAAAAAGAGACGACAGTAATATATGTGTATTCCATTAGTAATTTACACATATAGATATACATTGTGTTTAAATAAGCAAACAGTAAAGATGGATGTTCACAGTCGAATATCATTATTATCATATTAAGGAATGAAATAATTTTTTTTTCCTAAATAAAAATGACATGTGTAAATATAGTAGTCGTGGATGATTCATAGTGATAGTTATGATTGTTATTAAGATTATTATTATTATTATTATCGTTCTAATTAACGCGTGCCAACGAATCAAGGGATCAACGTTGAATGATATGATTTACCATAGTACAAATAAACATTTATCTCTTAACCGTATGGTTATGATAATTTAAAGTATATTTAATGAATAATTCAATATTCTATTTCGTTAAGAATAATTATGCTTCTGTCTTTCCCAATAAAGATATTTTTTTATAAATTAGAGAAAAAACAAATTATATGGTTAAATTATTTTGTTTTAAAATGTACTATCATGATTACTTATGAAACTGTGAATATTTGTTGTGGAATATGAAAAAAAAATAATCAGATGCTTTTTGTGTTGTAACGAAACAAGTATTTGGAATATTGAAATGGTTTGAACTATTGTATATTATATTATTAAATAATTGTTAGATAATTGGATTTTTGTATTTCTATATTCCTTGTGTTGTAGGCTTCCCTTGAACTTATCGGCTGTTGTTGGGGTGCACTAAAATCTAATGATTCATGTAAATAACTTAACGCTTGTTTGAGATTAAAGTACTAGATCCCTAGAATAGACAATTAAAAACGTGTATGCTGTATTCCTTCTTATCAGAATCGATACTGAAAATAGAACGCTTGCGTATCAGCGGACCAATAAGAATATAGATTATCTTGGCCTCAACTCAAGGTTGATTGTACCAGTTAAAGTTTACTATTGGCCAGAACTTACAACGCTAGGATTAGGGTAAAGGTGAAACAGTACTTGCGGGGTAGGAAAGTTATAACCGGGATTCTGATTGATGAATCTCCGTGACATATCGATTATCCTGCATTCATGACAAACCGGTATATCCGTTGATTTTATTATATATATATTTCCTCAAGTCTTATCAGTGTAAACTCTATTTAGGACATTAAACTATTTAATGTATCACACATGATTTTAAGCTATATTCATCATGTTGGAGCTAGAGGATGCGATATTAATTCCCAAAATCACGAATCTTTTCTTGTTGGATCGTGCTTGGTCAGGTCGTTAGTAATAAACAGTAGTTGTATTTATCGAGTCCGCTAAGTGATTAGTTCAACTTCATACCTAACTGGATCAATGACCTATTTTATTAGAAACTTAATGACCATGAGTAACGACCAAGGAATTTTAATAATTATGGGCCAGCGAGCTCCTAATCCAGTGTCCAGTAAAGAGGCAGAGTTAGCATGCAGATCCGTCTAATTTTCTATGTACTTCCATAATAACTCAAAAACGTACGATAATAAATAATTAACCATACATCAACGCAAAATAAATTTACATTGCGTACACAACATGAGTTAGAATTAATGCAAAACTGGAGAAATAGAGGAATCATTAATTAACCTTAATTTACAAATGATAAAGCGTGTATCAACAGTTAATAAACTAAATGAACGCTGATACATAAAACATTGTGTAAATACAATAGCTCATGCATTTAACAATTATAAAATAAAACTATAAATAATAATTCCCAGTAGGATAGCTCTGAGAGTGCAGATTTTCTCAAATCCTCTCTGATATGATCAAATGAACTCGACAAATTGGATCATAGTACATGGGTTGAAATTATCGCTCTATTCAGTGTTATGATTGAGAATAAAATCTTCAAGTTTCTTATCCATCTCCACAATAACACATTACATAATATGAAGGATTATTTTGGAAAATGATTGAAATTTTATGATTTTTTCACCCTCTCTTTAAACTTTTATGCACTTATATTTGTTTTAGGAACTTTCTACGGAACTTCAAAAACCTAGTAATAATAAACAAATAAATACACAACCAATAATCCAGTCAACCCATACACTGAAAAAGCATAAAAGTTGGCAAAATAGACTACGTGATTTAGAACCTGTTGCTTGGATGATTTTCATTGGTGATGGTGCCCATAATTTTATGGATGGACTTTCAATAGGTGTTGGATTTACTCAAAGTATCGGTTTAGGAATAAGTTTAACATTGGCTGTTTTATGTGAAGAACTTCCACATGAATTAGGTAAAAATATTTTTCCATGTTTTCTTCTTTTTGTTACGAAATATGTCCTATAAAAAGTCTGACGCATCACATTCTGGCTCACGTGAAATCAAAAAACATTACAAGGCCTCTTATATTCTTTATGTGTAACACTTAACTATTTATCTCTGTAGTTAATTAATTAAGTTAGAACTGGCAAACTCAGCTTCATATTACCAATATTCCGGAAAAATTTAAGGATCTGGTCAAGTTAGGGAAATAGTGAGGGAATAAATAAGAAAGCGTCTATCAAACATTCGTCATATTATTGTCCTTTATCTCATCATACTCAAAGTTTTCATGACAATCTTATTCTAGACCGATTATCTGCATATACATTTAACTCACGTTTCACAAATAAAAGAAAATGCGAATTAGTGAAATGAAAAAAAAACGTTATGAGGAATTCAGAAGCTCAGAATTTGGGGAAAGACAAATAATAGATGCGCCTGAGCCATGGCAAATGGTTCTAAGCCATGTCCATCAAAGTCTGTAACTATTGGTTACGATGATCGTGCGGACCCCAACCAAGTACACATCTGTTAGCATGGCCCAGTCCAATTCTCAATGACTTCATGGATTCCTTCCACGTTTTGGTTTACCTAGCTTTCTTTCAATCTGCTGTTACACCAGACTTCTCCCGTTGAGGTAGGTGGTGATTAGGCATACGTAACACATGCTTCAGCCACCTCAATTGATGGAGACTGAGTACCTCATCGATCGATTTATCGTATTTACCTAGTACTCTATGCCTAGTCCAGGGATTGATTGCTCCGTGTTCCAAAAACACACGAGCAATGTTTCGAAGACGTCTATGAATCCGTGCCGAGACCTCATCAGATACCAGGGCATCAGGATTGGTGAGACTCCCAAGATAAGTGAGGTGGTCAGTGACTTCAATTTTTCCACTCACTGTCACTGATTCAGGCTATGACGTAAGCCAGTCTTGGTGTAACATTTTACATTTAGAGAAAGCGAGCTGCTTCCGGAATATGCTTACATTGTTACTTTGGGTGGTCAGAAGACTGCATTTTGTCAGCGTTCTCTCCAAACAGAACTATGTTATCCGTGTATTTTAAATCAACTAATGTATCGCCTTGTAGAGGATCAACTCCTGGAAAGTCAGGATGAAAATGTTATCTCTAAAATCTCGTGTATGACAACGTTAAATAATGATGGGGAAAGCGGACGCCCTGACGGACACCAATTGAAGTATTTAGTTCTGATGACAGTTCGCCATAAGCCCTAACTTGACCATTAGTGTTTGAATAGAGAACCTGGACAAGGTGAATGTTCGTTTTTGGTACGCCATAAAATCAAAGGAGTGGGATGCCGCCCTTAGGTCAAGGGTTACAACTATTGACGGACATCGAAAAGTATGTCTATGTTCTATGATCTGCCGAAGGGTGAATATTTGGTCTGTACATCCACATCCAGGTCTGAAACCAGCCAGGTTTTCTCGGGTTCGTTGTTCACGAGCTCTAGTTAGACGTCGATGTATTATTGAGGATAATACTTTAGACACTATTAATCGAACTGATTCGCTTGTGATTGCCACAAAAAGATTTTTATTCTGCATTATAAACTGGAACGATCAGCGACCGAGACCAGTCAAATGTGGTTACATCCAGTTTCCAGATTTTTGCTAAGATTTCAGTTGATGATGACTGCTAGCGCTGGATGATATTTACCTAAAATTCTATTCACGCTAGCGCTAGACCACCATCCTTAAAAATCTCAGAGGTTAGTCCATCAGGCCCTATTGTTCTCGTACGCTTTAGATCACTTATAGCCTTTTCAGCCTTATTAAAAGTTAGAGGACTTACACAAATTCGCCATTCAGGCTGGAGGTCAGTTGAACTATTCTCTAAAGTACCAACTGGTCCAATCTCGTGGATTGAGAGTGAATAATACGCTCGTCTTTTCCGAGATAGTTTCACTAATAGCCAGATTTTCAGTACCCGTTACCTTGATAAGTTTGAACACTTGTTTACCGTTACCTATCCCTGCCACCTTTTCCATCTCTTCTGCTTTCGCTATCCACCATTGTTCACGATCATTACGTAAGCTTTTTATCAGCCTACGTTTAAGCTTCCGCCGCTCCTCATCGTGTTCGGAGCCAGATGGGATGTTTCTGGTCATTTGTCAGTTGGTTCATTAGGAACTGCTGAAATTCACTGACTTTTCCTTACCATTTGGTTTAAGTTGTTAGTAGATATCATTGTTATTTCCACAGCTTTTCGGCTATCATACCTAGCTACCTCGGGGTAGATATGACTTTCATGGTTGACTAACTTTTCTAGTTGTTCCTGAGATATATTCTTAACATTTTCATCATTAAGTTGAACTCTAAGTGGTTTTCTTGCTGTGGCCTTTCTACGTCCAGTAAGACTCAGACAAGTACGTGCTCGAGCTAGAGCATGATCTGAGATTAAGC